ATTTTTTTTGTCTATTTTTCCTTGCATGACATGGGGATTGTTAAAACTATGGCTGACAAATTCTCCAATGGGATCTTGGGGAATGTTTTTAGCATATTAGTATTCAAATATTCTAAAAGTTTTTAGCAAAGCAGTCAATTTAGAAAATAAGTATAATGCAAAACTGGACCCTTACCTTATGTCTATTAGTTAAACTGAATCATTTTCTTTTACCATATGAAGTAGACCTCGAGCCAAAAATTTCCAAGCTAAAAACCAGAGTTAAGGCTTTTACTTTTTGCAGTCACCAGAAAATCAAATCTTAAAACAAAAATGTGTTTTTACTGTGAGCAGTTGCCATCAGATGAGCATAGATATTAACCTCTTGACTGATGGCATTTAACACAAGAATGTGATTCAATGTTGTGCCTGGGTTTATTGCTGCAATAAAAATCCAATAAAAAAAATATTAGATACTTGAAATGTTGTGAAAATCCCCAGAAAGTTAAAGATGATCTAAGAGTTCATGACTATAATGATTTTCAAATAAGACATGATTAAAAAAAAAAACATACTTCAAAACCATGAACTGCTATTGAGGACAAAGGCTCTATTGAAACTTTTTCTAGGTACTAACTTAAAACCCTTTTTCTTCGACAGATTTTCAGCCAGTAAGATAAATTTATATTTTCAGAATAATGGATGAATCCCTTTTTTAAGCATTTGCCATTTTATTTTGTGGTAATATGAATAGATTTAAATATTGTATCCTATTTGAAATACTGATTAGTCCAATAGAGAAAGAAAACTTCTCTCTCTCTCTCTCTCTCTGAGACAAGTTGCCATTTATAATGTAATGGCTACTATCAGACTGATTGCTTTTTCAACCACTTTACATTACTTTCATCAATGGTCAGTGCAATTGTTCTTACAGAGCATCTTCAAACACTAATTTATTTTTGTTTAGAATGTTTTTTTTTTTTTTAAATCTCTTATGATTCCCCAACTACAAAAATGTTGGTTATTTCACTTGCAATCTCATCAAATCAGCAATCTATAAATACTTATATTTGTTGCTTCTTCTCTACCAAAATTAATCTATTTTGCTCACAACTCTATTTTTAATCATCTAACTCCTTTGGATCTAATGCTGACTAAAGCAGGGTAAATTAGTTCATTTACTTTAAACTCATCCTTTTCTACAAATGTAACATTGATTTTCTTAAACATGTACATAGCTATTAGCTTAGCTATTTCTTTATTTAAGTTGATTATTTTTTTTCCCTAGTAAACAATAACAAAACTGTTTTCAAAGAATACTAAATCAAGTTTTACCTTTTTATTTTAGAATATATGTGATGTACACTAAAGTGTGAAGCCACTTCCAGAGTTAGCATTGGGGTGAACTGGACATAAGAGTAAAAAAAAAAATGTAAAAGACCTCTTAGTCATTGAAAAAAGAATGGAATCAATTATCAAACTTATACTTTGAGAAACTTTTGCAACGAATGCCAAAAATTTGTGCTGCAGTAATCAAGGCTAAAGGAGGATATTTTGATGAGAGCAAAATTTAATCATAAAATGTTTTTTTCTTTTTGTCATAAAAAAATCATGTCACAACTTTTTCTTAACCATGTATAATAATTTTCTCTTATTTAAAGTACAAAACAACTACTTTTGGGGCCAATTTACAAAATTACCAGGGGTGGCATCAAACTTTTGAACTGTAGTGTATATGGTATTCTTTCTTTCTAAGACCAACTTGTCTTTTTTTTTTCTTTAAATGATGTAGTTAGTGCTAACTTCTAGTTACTTTAATTTGTATCTCTTGTGATAATTCTGCTTCTTTTATGTTTATAAAGTAGAAGATTTACTTGTGATGGTTATTTTGTATAATAATATTTTAAATATGAAAATATTTAATAATAATATTTATGAAAATATTCTAATATATACAATATAAAATTTATGTGTAAGCTTCAGCACCAGTAGGCACACTGCCTTGTTTTTCTTGAGATTTATTCAGATAAACTGACAGACTGAAGATCAACTTAAATATTTTCTCTGTCTCTATCAATTTTAACAATTTCACTAACAGGTATTTGGTTTTTGACAAATATTGGTTTCTTTCTTTCTTTTTTTTTTTTTTAACACCATCATTCATTTTAAATGACAATATACTTAACATTTATACCATTTTGTTGAAGGCTTCCTGTTTTGATTAAAATAGGAAACAAATACAATTTCTTTTGCTTTTTTGCAATGAAAATAAAAAACAATCCATTACTACTTTTTTTTTTTTTTTTTTTTTTTTTGCTAAAAACATAGAAAATTCTTTCTTACTTTAATTTACTGTTGTGTGAAAATTACTATCATTGTTTTCTTCTCACTGCATTTTTATACAATATTTTTATATGAGATTTCTGCGTGAATTCTGTTAAATGACATCTTACTTTCATATTTAGAATAAATGGAAATAATTCCAGATGCCTTCCAAATACCTTTATTCTTCTGGCTGGTGGATGCATGTGTGTGTGTGTGTGTGGGGGGGGGGTCCTACTAGTTAATGGATTAAAAGTGTCTTATAAAGCTAACTTCTGCAGCTGTATATTTTGCTTATAAAGAAAGAATCATGCCTGTTAGTCTTGATGGAACTGAACACAATTGATAATTGTGCACATGCAATCTTCTCAGATTTTCTTGGCATTTTTAACATGAGTTGTGTAGAATCATAAATAATCCTCTTTTATGGATTTGGGTGGATGTAACATTGGTTAAAAAAAAAAAAAAAAAAAAAGGATCACATGTACCTCATCTTTCTGAAAAGATGGATTTGATAGGTGATGGGGGAAATTCACCTGACCTCACTGCTATCAAGAGTTCAGGAAACCTCATGAAGGATTGTCCTGATGTCCCCTTGGATTTCCTAGTGAATAAAATGTCATGGTTGATTTGCAAATGTTTTGAGGAATTAAGAGTAAAAACAGATGTTTAAAAATTTCTTTTGCTTGTTTGGTTGGATTTCATGTAGGCTTCTGGTGGGAAATCTATTAATGAAATATTAATAGTATGAAGGGTGAGTGCTGAAAAATTCTTTGCTTGACCAAGAACCCTTTTCGAAAGAAAAAAAGTCTGTTTTATCAGATTTTGGGAAATGATATGGGCCAAGAACTTTTCAACACTCTCTTATATGTTTGTTTATTATTGTTTTCAAGAAATTAAAAAAAACAATGTTTTTATTAAGATGACCATTACATACTTATGAAGATGTTATTTATCGAAATCGGAAAGAAAAGTGTGATAAATTACTTGTATCTTCATGTGAGGGACATTTTGAAAGTCATGCTTTCAATTTATTTCCATGGAAACTACAATAGATACAACACCTTGGATAGAGCAAGTCTTCAACTCCAAAACATTATTTTCCTTCCTTAGTCCCCACCATTGGCCTTTATGACCAGCAATGGACATTTTGTGGATTGACTACTCATAAGTAGATGCCACTGCTGAAATACATTACCCACCTCTTAACTCCACTACACTACCACAATTACTTTATTAAACTCACATTATTAGATGTAATAGTCTTAAAATTTCTTAGATGAAAATATTATTATTTCCTTATAAGTCTCTAATCTTAATTCTGTTGATTTTTATCACAATTATCAGGCCATTATTCTACTGAAGTTGTGAAAAAACCAATAGTATTAAAATGAAAAAATACTAGTAAAAAATTAATAATAATTGACAATGTAAGAAATTCAGAAAACTTAGACTATTACATCTTATTATGACTTGGTGTAAATAAGCAAGAGAAATAAGATGAAAGAAATACTAGTCAAAAATTAATAATAATCTTGGCTAAAAAAAAAAATACGAACATCAATCTTTAGTTAAGCAAAGAATAACAATGTAAACATTGGAGTGGATGATTCTTTTCAGCAAACGTGAATTTGAAAATAAATCACATGATAGATTTATTTCAATTTTATTTTAACTGGATCAGTTACATAGGCTTATTTCTTTGTGTATGTGTATATAATATATATATATATATATATTATATAGTGTGGACATTGGAATCAATGCTGCATTGGTAACTATCAATTTCACACCTCAAGTGACCTTCAGCTGAAAATTGTCATGTATTGATTTCTATGTTCATCCTGTCTATCTCTCATAGTGAGGACTCTTCTCCAATAAACATGGAAAATTTTAAACAAACACACACGTTTGAAGAATTAATTATGTTTGAATTTTTGTGCAGGAATATTTTTATATCTTTGATAATAAAACACATTTTCTACTGCAAAATACATTTCACCAGTTATTTGTAACATTCCAAAGTGTTTTTCTTTCTAATTATCACTAAAATAATTTAAAAGTATAATTATTTTAATTTTTTAAACTCATTAAAACATTGCTGTTTTTAATTAAAATGGTTTAATATAAACTTGTATGTAAATAAAATTGATTTCAATCTCTTTTTGGAAGGGTGCATCTCTCAATTGTAAAACTGGTTTAATCAATGATTTAAGATTTCTTTTCAAGTATTTGATATTATTAAAGATGATTATCTGACGACATTATTATTCAGAATTGGTGATGTTTTTGAGCAAAAAGATTTCTATAATTATTTTACAAAACATTTTTGCTTTTTATTTAAAATGAATAGCAAATAAGTACAAAACTACCTCATTTTTTTGTCCAATTTTTTTTAAAAAAAGATTTTAGTAGTATTTAGTTTTAATTATAAGGAGTCAACCTGTATTAATTCTCATAGAATTTGCTTAAAATTATACAAATTGTCAAATCTTTGTTTTGACTTTTGATTTTTCCCTTTTTACAATGACAAACTAAAATTATAAAAAAAAAAGACCTTTTCCAAATTGTAATTCGAAAATTGCTGCTTGTCTTTTGTCAATTTTAGTTTTATTGATTATCAGAATTAAAAGCATAGGCTACCAACATTGTCCAAAAGATACATGACAAGTAACTAGATTTTTAAAATTTTTATTCAGCTCTACACTGTTGTGAGGAATGTAAAAGAAGCCCATGAGGTACAGGAATCTGGAGAGACTCAAGAATTTATTGATGATGTAGAGTATCTATTGGCTGGCCTGGGAGATACAGAACCTATGTCTACTCGATGTCTAAGGTAAGACATGTTTTACATCTTGTTTTTTTTTTTTTTTTTCTTCTCAGAAAGCAAATGAATTTATTGGATCAGCTGGAGTGACATTTTCAATTAAACATTATATTTATGGTAAAGTTAACTTCTGTAGCAAAGTCGATTGAATGACAAAAAAAAAAAAAATTAGAATAAAAAAAATCACAATGAACAAAATGTCACAAAAGTCCAGTGCTACTAAATCGACCACAAAAATTCAACAATGATGAATAGCTTTTCAGCTGAAACATATTTGTGGATCGCATTGGCAGATGCCATTGAGACTAAACCATCATTCTGTGTTATGTACTAGTACACTGACTTGTCTATAGAACACTCTTCTAGCAGTAATTTCTTAACACTCCCTTTTCTTGACAGGATCCACTGAAAATGTATCAAAATGCACCATTCATCCACAGTTTTTATTATTATGCACTGAGAGAATTAAGCCTTCTTCTGTATTAGTTGTCTCACAAATAGCCTTACTTTTCAACCTTATCTGCATATCAGAGATCCACTCATATACTCAGAAGGAATGTGCTTTGATGTAAACACCTTTGCTTCATGGTACCAAATTTGTTGGATGCACAGCCAGCATGCATCCTCACTCATAAGCCCACTCACTTCCAGTGAGACTCCAATTGTCATGGAACACGCATCAACCCACATTATCTATTTTCCTTTTATGCTCCAGTTTCCTTGAGCAGGATCATTTTGTTGCACTTGAGTGATGGTTTCCAATATCATATTTTTGAGAGGATTATTATTTATTTCAGTAGTTCTCGACCAGGGTCTATATGGACTCAAGGGTCAATATAACATTACTGAGGGTCCACACAAAAAACAAATGTGGGGGTTCACCATAATATTTTAGTGGTCCATAGAGTAATTTCACTTTGGAGCGGTTGTCACAACTGAGATTTGGAATTTCTACAGTAATCTACGCCATATGAAATACTAAAATTCGAAAAAAAAAAACCCAACTCTAAAACTATCAGAAAATGTAATCAAGCAATGTAAGTTAGTGTACCATTTACTCTACCAGATGTTTTGATTGTAAAAGTTGAATAAAAACAAAGAAGGATGGATATTTAATATGTAAATTGTATAAGGATTATATATAAAGGAAGCATATACATTTGTTATTTCTATAATACAATTCATAAACTTATCTATTAGTAAAAAAAAAAAATTTTTAAAAATGCCTTTTTTCTTTTTTTTTTCTTTTTCTTTCTTTCTTTCTTTCTTTCTTTCATCAAATGGCTATGGGGGTCCACTGAAAAGAATTAAAAGTGTTCCATGGGTAAAAACTGGTTGAGAACCACCGATTTATTTCATCATCCCAGTACTTTATTATCATATTAACTCTATTTTATATATCCTTTCACCACACAGAACCACCTATATACTGGAAAGTGCCTCATAAGTTTCCTGCAAATGAGAAAAGTAATATCATAAGGAATTGCCACAGGAAATTAGGTTAGAAATGAGAAAGGATTCTCAACACCCTCCCTCTCTAGATTTTCAAATTTAGCACTTAAGTCCCACCTTCCTTTTGGCTTATGACCATATCATGTTGAAACCCTGGTTAAACAATGTTGAGCCTGGTCAGTACATAAATGGGTAACTGCAAGGGAATACCAGATGCTGAAAGCTTGAATGTGCAGCTGGTGTAATAGATAACAGCACAGAATTAGAAATCGGAGAGCCAGGTTTGAAATTCCAGTCAGGCTCATTATATTCACTTACACACACACATGACCTTGGTAAAGATATGAATCCATCACTCCCCCCAAGCTATGGGTTAATAAGAAGAAATTGTATCAGTAAAAATCTTTGTTATCTCAAAGAAATCAGACAGTTTAAAAATATTTACTGGCTTAAAATAACCTGCAAAAGGTTGATAAGGCATTAAAAAAATCAATCGATCAATCACCTTACATTTATTTTGGATCCTTACTGACTAGTCCAAAATTTGATATATCCTTTTTGGCATTTGCAGGGATTTTTTTTTTTTAACAAATATATAATTGATATCCATGACATTGCCCTTAATCATATCTGTATGAAATGGTCACAATATCTTTTGAACATGCAATTCCTGCTATTTTTTTTTTTCCTTTGTTGTTACTATTCTTTCAACTTATTCATGCAAACATCAGCATTGCTCATAAATATGTCAACATATTCATTAAACTCTCTATTCTCCATCCAGAATGCTTCTTCATCTTGTTTTCCCTCACAATGACTATTGGAGGAATCCAGCCCCTAGGTTGAGTGGAGGCTCAAATTTATCCTCAGAGCACAGCAATAAGCAGCCTTCGTTGATTCAGATGTGAATCACATGCTCCTATTTTTCCCTAACTTATGCGTGAACATGGCATAGGCCAAAACCTTATTCTGTAATTTCTCAGGCACCTAATTATCAGGTCATTTTTACATGCTGCAATTCTCTCTCTTCCTTATATATATATATATATATATATATATATATATATATATATACACACACACACTTGTTCCCAGAATTTAAACTGAAATCAAGTTCATCAGTTCAAATGGTTGTAAAATACAGGTACTTCTTCATTAGTAAACACTTAGCATTAATTCTGATAAGGTGTGGTCGAATTCTAACAGCTTTGTGTGTCTGCTACCAAAATTTTAACTATAACCAAATTCATGCATGTCAAAAGGTTGTTATGTTTTCACTTTTACATATCTAATAAACTGACTTCATCACAATGAAGCGGGAGCATATGCAACACAGACCAAAAGAGTGCAATATGTTCCATTAATCTGGATTACAATTCAGGTATGCCCATATTCACATTTTGCCTGGAGAGAGGACTGATGTTGATGTCTTTACCTCTGTTCCATTTTCCCAAGCAATCTGTATTTCTTTTCTTGGTAATTGTTCACAACTGTTTCTTTTTCTTCAATGAAGCAAGCAATATCTTGCTTTATAATTAGATCCATGATACATTTAGCATATAAATTTGGCAGTTTGTTGGTGTTGTATATCAGTCATGTATGCCGTGTGTACTCCTGCTTCATTCTTTAATATCCCCCCTGTCATGATTCAACAGTTGGTTAACAGTCATGTAATCCATTCATGAAATGGCATGAAGAAACTGCTTCAAATTGTCCAGTAACCGGGTCACTTCTGCTAACCACCATTGACAGTCTGCATGATACTTCCCAAATGACGTCCACAGATTCATTTGCTCGCAGCTATCTTGACATGAATTATTCAGAGGCTACAAAAGAAATCAACTTTGCATTTATTGTCATTGAATCGAGCCATACAATGATATTTTTTTCCTTAAAATAGTAGGATGGTAGTAATAGAATTTGCGGAAATATTAGTTCTAAGCTGATTTTTCTTTTTTTTTAACAGCACTAATATCTCATAGCAGTGGAATGATTACTTATATTCAGATTGTACGATGTTGATTGCTAGAGAAGAAATTTTTTTATTTTTATTTTAATAATTAGTGTGTGTTAATTAACTCCAACCTAAAATTTAATCTAAAGTCAGTTTCTTTTTTTTTTTTCCCTTTTACCATTCTTTCTACTTTCTTACCTTTTTTTTTTTTTTTTTTTTTTTTTTACTTGTTTTGAGCTGTTGAGATTATATTGGAGAATAGTTTTAAAATTCCTGGCACACATTTTAGGATTAAGTTTTGATCTGTTTATTCCATTAGCATTAAGGGTTAATCTTAATTAGATTTATGAAGATTTATACCCTATGTTTGACAACCTGATCCATCACTTTTAAAAAAATTTTATACAATACCAATCTTTCATACCCTGGAAAGTGTTTCTAGAATTTAACCTTCTCATTTAATTACATATTTACTGCCTGCAACATTAGATATATAACACATTCTTATTTTGTTACACAATATTATAGACTTTATTAACACACAGTTGTTCTGACAATAAGCATGTTGAAAATAAAAAATAAAAATCCTTGCAGTAATACTTTTTCTTGTAATTATCTTTTTTTTTCTTTTAATGTATTAAATAAAACAAAATGACAAAGCTATTTTTGCCATCACATTTTGTCATTAAAGTTTATTTTTAAAAGTTTTTTCTCAATTACTTTCATCTCTTAATGTAAAATTAAATGAATTTGTTAAACTCAGAAAGTTTATCTTGATGTCCTTGGGAATAACCTTGTGTAAAATCATTTGGCTGCTAATCTTACTATTACTGCTGGCTTAGGGGTTTTTGTTAGTCTCAACTTGTAAAAGTCTTTTTCTTTTGAGGTTTGGTCTTGTTTTATATAGAAGAGAATCCAACAGTAAGAAATTAATAACCATTGAAGTTTTATATATATATATATATATATATATATATATATATATATATATATAATTTTAAGGTATGCTATATTTATGGGGTAAAGTGCTCAATATCATAGATAGAGCATATGTAAATATAAAAGTAAAAATTGAAGTCAACACTCAGCGGTGAGAGACTGTTTCATGCTAAATGCAATCATCAAGCCACCTGATGATTGCATGTACCATGAAAAAGTCTGTGTTTTTATTTATATATATATATATATATATATATATATATATATATATATATATATTTCCTTTGATTAATTTTTTTTCGACACATTTGTGTTCTGATGCATGACAATGTTGGTATTATTATATCCATCAATTTTTAAAAAAATTTTTTTTTTAAATGCCTTGTCATTTTAGGATGTAGGTGATGATGACTTTCCACAGATTCATTTTCTTTATTAGCTGTGATTTGCCATGCTTTTTGGGAAAGATAGCAGAGTGGTTTCCTGTTACTTTCTTTCCACAGTTTGGAATTGAGTGTTGCTGCTCTTAGGTTGGTTGCCCCCAGGATTGGGAGCCCAGTTTACCCTGTTATTTAACTCAGAAGTGTGTTGGGAGAGAAGATCGACATGAGTACAGCTCGGCATTTCTACTTTGTGCATTAGTATACTACTTGCATCTCTATGT